AGTCAGCTCTTAACCAATGTGCCCCTCAGCCAGCCCTGGAGGGATGATTTTAAACAAAGCCCATCACGCCTGGACTTTTACAATTGTCTCCTAAAGTACATTCTGCCATTGTTCTTACCCTTTTAAATCTTCCTCTACATTGTAGCCAGAGTGATCTGACTTGCACATCTGATCACGTTACACCCCTGCTCAGAATTTTTTATTGCCTCTCCATCTATGTGTAAGATAAAAATCTAAACTCATGTTCAGCCCCTGTCTACCTCTCCAAGCCTCACTCCTGGTATTCCCTGGTACACACAGTGCCTTGCACATAATATGTGCTTGTTAATATTGACTATACTTTGCGTGAATATTGACTATACTTTGCGTGAATAAAGTGAACAAATTTTCCAACAAGATTAAAAAGATTTGAGAAATACCTGTTTTTAAAGTAATGTTGATGTTCTTTTTGTCCATTTCTTTTTTGGATAGTTCTTATCTCATGTAAGTAAAATGTTTTTACAGATTCCAAGGATTTCCCAATTGTTTTATTTACACTGGAATTTAAAAAAAAAATCTCTGTACTTGATGTATTTTTATTTCAAACTTATTGTACCTTTTCCAGCCCAATACATACTGTGATCAGCTGCAGTGGCTTTACTGCAGAAGCTGCTAAGGAAATGGGGAATCTTCACTGGGAAGGGTTTTGTGATTTGGAAAAGTTCGCCCAGGTGATTCTGATATTGTGACCCATTTTGCATCTGGCTATTTTATGGTTTCTGATCTGTGTTAGCTGAATTGTCAGCAGTACCTTTCATGCAATTCTGAGATCCCCAAGGCCCTGAAAAACAAAAGTTTCTGTAGCTAATAAACTTGACTTAAACCTATGGGAGGCTATTTAACCTTTTATTTATTCCACTTACAGTACACATTCTTAAAGTTCTGTAAAGAAATTTTAAGTTAGCAGTTTGGTTAACACAGGGTGTTACCTTAGACCCAATCAAGGATGTAAGTTAATATAAGGTATTTATGCCATATCACCTCTTCATATTCCATATATTCCGAAATTCACAAGTTTCTGGAAGTTTTTTTTTTTTTCTTAAAGATTTTATTGGGGAATTGGGGAAGGGGAACAGCGAAGTTGTCCTTCAATCTTAGTTGTAGAGGGCGCAGCTAGCTCAGCTCCAAATCCAGTCGCCATCCGGCCGCCCGTCGGCAGCTTGCAGCTGCTCAGCTCAAGGTGCCGTTTTCAATCTTAGTTTCTCCAACAGGCAGCCTTGTTGTTAGGAGCGTGTGCTCTCACCAGCTGAGCCATCCTATCACCTGTTGGCAGCTCAGCAGCAGCTCAGCTCAGGCACAGCTCACTGGCCCATGTGGGAATCAAACCTGTTGCTCAGAGCTCGTGCTCTTAACTAACTGAACCACTCGCCCAGCCCTGAAAGTGTTTTGAAACCAGAGGTTTCAGATACAGGCTTGTTGACCTGAACCAATTTTCACTACCACCAGTTTCCCTAGTGATGGTTGATTAATGGTATAATACTTTGTTTTATTTTTAATTTCTTTTTTTTTTACCATGACGCCTTCCGAGGCTCGGGTCCCTCTCTCGGGGTGAACCCATTCCATTTAATTTCTTTTTAGTGATAATGTTGAAATTTTTTCATGTTTATTTACTAATTTCATTTCTTGTTGCATACATTCTTCAAATTTTTTGTTCATTTGTCTGTTAGGGTCTTAATGATTTTTTTTAACCAACTTATAATATTGTAGATATTAACTGGTTTTCTGCTAGCACAATGGTATCCTTGTGACATATTCTAAGCTTTTTGTATCTAGCGTATCAGTAGGAAATGCTGTAAGTTGAAGACCTCTAGTATAAGGGAAATGAACATGTCCCTCGGCTCAAAGCCTCTTAATGGCTTCCTGTCTCACTTAGAGTCAAGGCTGCAGTTTCTACTATGACCAGCGAGGCCCTGCATGATTTGAGGCTCTTGCTGTCTCTCTGACCTAATCTCGGACCACTCTCCTTGTTCACTTTTCTCAAGGCACACTGGCCTCTTTGCTGTTTCTGGAACAGGCTAGATATGTTCCCACTTAAGGTCTTTGTGCTTTATTCTTCTCTCTCCCCGAACATGTTTCTTCCAAGTGTTCCAGGCAGAGTGTCCGCATGGCTCACTTTCTCACCTTCTTTCAAGTCTGCTCATAAATGAATTTCTCAGTCATGCCTTTCCTGAATACCCTTATTTAAAATTACATTCTTATTTCCACATTCCCTGCTTACCACCTTATAACATACTCTGTGTGTGTGTGTGTGTGTGTGTGTATTCTTTCTGTATTAGAATGGAAGATCCATAAGGGCAGGGGTTTTTATCTTGTTTTGTCTGTAGATATATTCACATTGCTTCTCTCTGTCTGGCACATTATGAGACATTCAGTAGATAATGCTGAACAAGGGAAAGGGTAGGGAGAAGTAAAGAGGAACATTTGTCTCATTGTCTAACACAGACCCTTGATTTGAGGCTTAATTTTTTTTTTTTTACAAATTTTATTGATGAAATAAAAATATAATAATAATAATAATTGAATATAATTTGTTGCATTGGAATACTAATAGGAAGATGGAATTTTTTTTTAAAGATTTTATTGGGGAGTTGGGGGAGGGGAACAGCACTGGGGAGTCGGGGGAAGGGGAACAGACAAGTTGCTGTCGTTTTGTTCCTCAGCCTAGCTGTGGAGGATGTTACCTCACTGGCCCAAGCTGGCACCATCATTGCTATCTTCCCGGACGAGGCAGATCAGTCACTGGCCTCTGGACGGCCACTCACCGCAGCTGCTGGCCACTCACGATGGCTGCCGGCTACACACGGTAGCTTATGGCAACCCACTGCAGCAGGGGCTGCAGCCTTCACCGTCGCCGGTGACCCACGGCAGCCCAGCCCCAGGTCGAGCTGCCGTTCACCATCTTAGCTGCAGAGGGCAGTGTCACTGGCCCTCATATGTGGGATCCGAACCGGGGCTCTCTGGCATCCCA